GGTTAGCGCCGCCCCCCGAGCCCTCGCCAGCTCCCGGCGCTGGGAGAGCCGAGCTTCGCCCGGGGAACCCGCGGGGCGGCGGCATCAGAGCCCGGCTGACCGCTCCTGGGCCGACCGCGAAGCCCTAAAACTCCAAAGTTACGCGAGTGTTTTGGTTTTCCTCCAGCTTTACGGAGGAGATGCGAGCTCTGGACCACGTACCATCCACAGCACTGTTGAAAGGAGAGAGAAACCAGGACCTACGCACGCAAGACCTCCAACTCAAACATAACTACAGCTCCCTGACACACAGGGATGCCTTGCAGCCCCAAGACAAGAAAAGTTTCTCCGGTCCCTTTATAAGCAGGCCACAACTCCTTATGTTGTGGCATCCCATCCTCCCAGGCGGCAAGCAAGTCTTGAAAAGTGAAGCAGCCGTTCACCTGCACATTATACCTACACGAGCGTGCAACCAGCCCGGAAGAGCTGCGAAGAGAAAGGGCACGTACTAACTCCAGTTTCTCAGCACATCAAGATTGGTTTTAGCACCAGTTTAATGTGCCCATCCGACCGCAAAGAGCGCTGCCCAAACGCCGCGGGGGACATCCTCGCGGAGGGAGAGGAACAGAACTTGCGTGTCCTACACAGCGCCCTGGCTTCCCACCACTGTGGGGGGACGAGACGAGGGAAATCCAGACCAGACTCTAGAAGTACAACTAACCAGGCACAAGCTTCAAACAGGCTTGTGGAGAAGTCCCTCTCCCCGGCTCTCGGCCGTCTAGAGTCAGAGTTACCGCCGCACAGCCCCTCTACCTCCAACACGACGGAAGAGCAGCCCGAGCACCCTTTCCAGACGCTTTCTGTAAGGTTTGTCACGGAAAAGTTAGATGAGGGCCCAAGGAGACGCATCTCCTAGTCGCACAGGGGCTGCTGTCTGTGCTAACAGGGAGCCGTGCCACACCACCACGGCTTCTGCTGGGCCCTGAAAACGTCGCACAGCTTTGAACACCTCGGAGCAGCCCAATCCAAACCAAACAGCACTGGAAGAGAGGTTTCTACAACGCCTCGCACACCACAGTGATCACCTAGGCGTACGCAAACGGGACGCCGAACAAGCTGCTGACTGGAAACACCCGATCGCTGGTCCTCCAGCAGCCTCTGAAAGCCAGGGAAGGAGCAGACCCAGCAGCACACTTATTTGAAGGTCCTGTTAAACACGGAAAAGTCAGATGTGGAGCAGCATCTAGAAGATACTGACCATCCCGCAGGAGAGAACGTGCCCATGAGACATCCCACCCCGCAGCCTGGCTCCCGCCATCGGCGGCCCAGCGCCCACTCGGCGGCCAGCGCCTGACCCAGCCCACGCGAGCTGCACCATTCCTCCGAGGCTTCTGCAAACGGTTTGCGGGCAGGTTTTTTTCCAGGAGCCTGGAGCTCTGACCCAACATCTGGAGCAACCCTCACACATCAAACAAGTGCCGAGGCCCTCCCTTGAGAAGGGCTGAGCGCTCCCAGGGGCACACAGCGAGGAGCGCGGCGAAGGCTGCCCGAGGACGGAGGTGAGGACCATGGCCGTGCAGAGCAAGTTGTAGGCACCATCCAGGTCACCAGCGCTCAGCTCTGAGCTCTTGGCACAGCAGTGGGGAAATGAAGGACTCTGAGCTGCCCCGAGTGCATCTGCGCTCACAGCAACGGAACAGATGAGCAGGGTGACTGTAAGCCTCAGACTTTAGTCTCTGCCCTGCAAGCAGAGGCAGGCAGAGATTTTGTTCTTCTAGAGGTGCTCGGGCAATTCA